ATATATACACATATATATACACACACACACACATACATACATACATATATAAGATTATCAATTTGGGCTATGTTATATAACATGATTCCATGACTATTTTTGTTAATTATCTGAACATTTAATCTGTTATTATTATATTATATCTGCGGACAGGGGATAGACAGCATCGGACAACCTATTTGAATCAGAATCACATTTTTTAGAATATTTTTACTTTGCTCTAAATGTACTTAAGCACATTCCAAAGGAAACAATTTACAGGAACAGACGAGCAGAAATACAGCTTAAAAACAATCACAACAAAGCTGAAACAAGTGGCTAAAAATAGAACTATTACGTAAGAAGGTGGAAACAATAAGTGTAACGTTTTATGAAGATACCTCACCTGCTCTAGTAAATAACGAGCTGTAACGTTAATCGCGTAGCTTGTCCTCTTATGGTCGCTGTGCAGAGACTGACATGTAGTCAGACTGACATTAGATGAAGCGTGAACCGTTTTACATCAACAAAGATTTGGTGGATTCGTTATGAAAACACAGGTCAGGCAGCTTGCTTCCTGGTTGAGGACAGTCTGAACAAACAATCCTCGCAATGCAATCAGACAACCTCAATTTAAGCCCCTTTGCAACGTGTGTTGCGCCATTTTATGCACGGCTCAACACTAATGACCGTCTGTCAGTCGCCTAAATAATGACACAAACGGCCCGATGCGTCCGTCAGCTCTGACCCAGCTAGCTCGTTAGCTACAGCTGGCTAGCTCAAGATACGCAATGCAGGAAATCTCCGGGTGTCCGTGGACTCACCTGATAGAAGCTCCTCGCGGGCTACACGGCGGACCAATATGAGTGACAGCTTAACAAAACCATCTAATTCAAAGCAGGTACAATGCGGCTCGTGGTCGACCACGCGCAGACGGCTCGGACAAAGACAACACAGCCTGTGGTCTGTTGCAGCGGAGCCCGGTTACCCGCGTCTCTCTCCTTTGAATCGGAACCCGTTCCCCCGCGGCCTCGGTTAAAAACGGGAGCTGGGATCCGACAATGCATGCAGGCTTGCGGGGTGACAAGGTGACAGTGCGGCGGCTCGGACGGGAGAAAAAACAAATGTGTTTTGTTTATTAAACTCGCAGGAGGAGGAAGTCTGAAGAGTGCAAAACAATCCCCGTCGACCAATGGCAGGCGGCCGGTGACGTCTAGAATGTGGGTCAACCAATCAGATTCGACTTCACATGAGCCTTTTATGGCTACCAGTGTGGTTGCTGTTATGTTATTACTGGGTTATCACATCCTGCTGGTAGATTTGGGATAAAAAAAAAAAAGTCCCTCAGACTGGCTGCAAACGGGTCAACCTTACACAATGCATGGAAGTATTTGCGGTTATGTGATGACATTCAGGAAAACATTTGATTTCTATCTAACAGAGAGATGGAGAGGTGGTTTTGGTTGTTGTGGTCTCTTGATTTTGTTTGCATAACTGTCTCTAGGCCGTGTGTAAATGTGTAGCCTATATGTTGTATGCAGGCCAGTTGTAAGGAGGTAAAAAACTCCCTCAGCAGAGCACCATCAATCCTAAAACATTTTACTCACTCTGCAAAAGATCTTTAACAAATCAAACAAGACAAACAGTACATATTCATATTTAAAGTTTGTTTGTAGATATACTTTTAATGATTTGATTGTCACAGTTGTTGTCGATTCATTTTTCAAAGTAAGGTTTGATTTTTTTGCCTAAAAAACAAAAAAATACCATGTCTTAAACCGCAGCTACAGACCTGGTTGTGTGTTCACAAGAACATTATTTCACTTATTTAAACCTTTGCTCTTTGCATCTACTGTATTAAAGACTTCAGTCTGCACTGATCCACTAATAATCCATTCACTCACTTGTCACACTGCAAAGCACAGCCAAGCAGGTCAGAAAAATGCAGCCTTTGTTTCAGCACTAGACTGGTTGTTTATTCTCACAGCGGTGGGGCCGGACTTTGACCGTAGCCTGGGAAAACAAGGACACAGGTGAAGCTATAACTGCACTTGTAAACCCTCTGCCTACGTGAGCCTGTACAGTAGATAAGTGACTGGATTAAACACTACAATAATGACACTCTACTCACCTGAGTGGATATATTTGTAGAACAAATAAGTATACATTTGATTTTATTTCCAGCATGTTTGTGTTCTTTTCATCTTAATACAACAAAGAGAACATAAAAGCATAAATCCATAAAGTACATTGTAAAGCACAATCATGTTTTTCTAAAGTCCATCACTCACTCAAACCAATCAAATAATGCCAGAAAATAACGTCCAACACAGTCAAAACAAAGTCACGTTTTCTCTCTGGTGCAGCTGGTTAGATATTCACTTCAGCAACAAACACTTCTGCACCATCGCACCATTTACATTATGAAATTATTCTTATGATTCTTATTCTAGTATCAATATTATTACTATTATTATTATTATAGCCATATGTGTGCATGTGCACAAATATATATGTTTTTTTCTTTTCACCACTTCAACTTTTTTTTTTTTTTAAATTCTATTTTTACAAATGTTCATTCATTATTCGTTAGTCTCCTCCTCGTGCACATTCGTCTTATCGCTCTTACACATACATGAATACACAACACATTTTCACACACATACAAAACATAAACATAAAGATTGTCTACTTGTCTGTAAACCTATGTCTGTCTAGTTCGTGACTACTCTTGTACTGTGACCCATGTGCACTAATAAAAGGGAAAGCTTCACTCCGACAGCGTTGTAGTTGCTGCTGAGATAAATCCCTCTGGGCTGTGTTTGACACACTGAGGGTGGAGGCCGTGGAAACGACCCGATAGCAGATAATTGTATCTACAGCGAAGGCTTGAGATTAAAGAGTTGAATGATAGTTCTGTTCCGTTTAATAGACCAAACAACTCCTCCCACTGATCTTGTCACGGTGAAGGTCTCACGCTTCTTGTATTTACTTTTCTTTCACAGTCTTTTCTTCACACAGTCCGCCCTCATCAGAAAGCTGCTGAGTTATCAGTTGTTGGGACGTGAGGGCGTGTTTGGGTTCAGTCCTGACTTTGGTTTCTGCAGAGGTAGCTGGACAGAAGAGTCGGGTAGTCACTCATCACCCCTGTGGCCCCGACTTCAAATGCAGCCTTTATGTCGTCGTCTTTATTGCACACAAACAAATGCACCTGCAGGTAAAGATACATTAGTCAATCATGATGATCTGTTTGGGGTCCTGCATACCTAACAGCTAAAAAACATACATAAAATAGTTTTTATTTCCTTCTCAAATAAATAGGGAGTAGATGATGTCAACAAAACAACAAGGGCGAGATAGAGTCCTGTTCTCTGTCATCCGTCCTGCAGTTTGGAGCTACAGTACGTGACTCGACCATCAATAAAACTAAAACCGTCTGAGCTGTGACAGACCAAATACAGCAGACATCGGCTTAAAGTGAGACCTCGGAGCATCACTTGTTCACACTGCAGTGTGGACAAATAACTGACATCAATGCCGAGGCAGCAGCATTGTGATATTCTTTAGTGTTAGAAATATACAGAGTACTTATACTGACATATATTTTAGGCTTCTTTGTTGCTATCATGATGTATCACAGATGATTGTCTCACAGTGTTTTACTGGAAGAAGGTATCTCCAGTTACCTTTCATTCCCACTTCTAATATTCACACAAGCTCACGTTTTCCTGCTGGAGGAAATCTCACGCCTCTGTTTTCATTCGGTTGACGAGGGGACAAGCTGTTCTTGGTCGCTACCTCAGAATCACTCATAAGCATTCAAATGCGCTGAGGTCCTCAGCAGCTGACAAGACTGCGGCATGTGAATTCAATTGTTTTCATGCTCAAACTATTCAGTGGCCTCTCATGACCGGACGATGGGGGGTGACCTCATCCCGGCGGAGATGACTCACATTAGGACAGAGATGATGAGCTCAACACACCCTGTGTGGCTGTGTGAGCGTTACTGTTAGTCCTGAAACACTGACGTGTGATGTGCATTAAACCATTCAGTGCTTTGGTTAAATTAGGTCCTACAGCTGATCAGCTTTTTCTTCTGTTTTTTTGCATCCGGGAATTACAATTTGAGATTTTTTCTTATTGATATTGTAGCTGAAACGTCGGACACTGACAACAATAACTTCTTCAACATTGTGCAATATTACATTTTTAACAACTTGCAATATTACTTTCAATATATTATGTGCATTATTACTTTTTATTACTTGTCGATATTACTCTGCATTACTTTTTCTGTTAGTTAACTTATTTTACAGAATTTATAATATAACTTATAATAATAGAATTTGCTATTCTTATTAGTATTACTTCTTATACATTTTACATGTATTACTCTATTGTTGATATATGTTTATATTTTAATCTATCGTTTTTCTTTAGATCAATCTCTGGCACAAGAATTTGCTTCAGAATGAATAAAGTTCTATTTCATTTCATCTTCAGCTAAGAGTTCAAAGGTATCCAGCGGAAGGTTGTGACCTCTAGTGGAGGATAATAAATACCAACAGTTCAACACCGGACTGCTTCAGTCTGATTATCTAGTACCTTTGGTGTTTATATTCTTATCTAAACTTGTTAGTGTTTCACGGTTCTTGTCTTCTATTCATTCCTGATGCACCTAAACATCCATCATTAACTCTGCCTCTACGTATGTAGTTTCATACCTGAATTCCACGAGCTGCGAGGTGTTTGAACAGACTCTTCCTCATTGTGACTCTGGAATGACAGTAGAGAATATTTCAGTTTTTACAGAAATAGCAGTAAAACATCCAGAATTTGCTGCTACATAAACATTACTGTACAGTATTGAACATGTGATTCTGCAAAAAAGCATCACCCCTTCTGTGCATTATTGTCTCAGTCGTGCTTTAAGTTATTTTCTCTGACGTGGTTGGTGACGACCGTTTCAGATTTGTACATCAAAACAAAGTCACGGGAAACTTGACTCACTTTTCTAACAAAGAGATGATCAGCTTGTTCCTCAGGATGCGCTTCTCTGGAATGTACGTCCTTCAGCACACAAACACAGAGAAAGACACATCAGACTCATCTGTATTGTGACTCATTCATCTCTCATCAAACATCAAATTAGAGAAGGAAAAATAAATAAAGTAGTAACTAACAAAGTAGAAACTTTGCTGCATGATAACACACGCATGGACACACATGCAGACACACCTGTTTATGACGCAAGGCAGGTAGAACTGCAGTAAACTCTCCTCCAGCGGCATAAAGGGCAGCAGGCCGGTGTAGAAGAGAAGCAGAAGCAGCACACCTCGGCTCTGTGAGAAGCTGTACGGCATGGAGCCGTTCTACCAAGAAGCAGAGAGACAGTTCTCTCTTTAAAACAAGCAATCACATGTAATGTTGGCTGTGAATTGATGCTGCACAAGTAACTTTGTCTCCCCCAGGTGGTCTATGTACCGTTCTGCGGCATTCCTCCATGATCTTGGATTTCACTGAGGCCCAGACAGTGATCTCCTCCCTGTTGTAGCTTTGAACCAAGTCAGACACCTACACACAGACGAGAGAGGGCGGAGGAATGATGAGATATGAAGGAGTATCAGCTTACATGTTGATGTCAAAGATATGCTCATAAGCAGGATGTGTTGACTTTAAAAGAGACCACTTTCACGCGTGTGAGTTTGAAGCAACATGAAGTCTAAAATGCAGGAACTTTGATAATGAAAAAAACTGCAGAGTCAAAGACAAACAGTGAGTGTTATTTAAATCTCAACATCAGGGACAATCTGGACATTTGACTGGAAAGTTGCTGAGCATCACAAAAGCATGGTTTCATATTTTGGAGATTCTTCTATATCATTGGGAAAGTGCTGAAACGTCTCCTTTTTTTTAGGTTTACTGCACCTTTTCCATCAGCTGTTTGTTCTTCTCTTTGATCTCAATGCTGATCGGCATCTCAGGGAACTTCCTGAACACGTCCTCCAGCAGAGCGAACTTCCTGTCTGAACCGCTGCTGTAGCGACCTGGAGGAGGGATGTGTGAACACTAAGGTTAACACTCACACACGTACACACACGCCCACTGCCCTACTTCTTCACAAAATTACTTTTCGTTAATGATTGAGAACAAGAGACTGCGAGGAGGAACTCACCTTTATAAAAGGTCACCTCCAGTCTCTCTTTATACAGAGGCAAGTCCTACAAGAGAACAAAATTATAAAGTTATACTATTATGAAATTGACTGAGATTACCATAAATAAAAGATATTCTTGGTGTAATGTAGAGGAGTTGCTGCATGCGATATAGTTGGAGGCAAAGAAGGTAATTCAGTACTTAAGTGACAGTTTACTCTTGGTTAATATAAGGCTCCGTCTACACATATACAGATATATTTCTCTGCGTTTTGACCTCTCGCACACATGCACATATCTGTATACCTGTAGACAGGGCCTAAACATTCTCTTCAGAACACACAACCTTTTGTGCTCCTTATTGTTATTGTTGACTTGGGTCAGCGGTGGTCTGTAGCAGGTTTTTTGTTGTGTTTTAATCTGGTACAACACACGGCGGAGTTGTGTTTGTAACATCAGTTTAGGGGCCTCGTAACTCGCTCATTTAGAAATCATGCCAGCTGTGTGAGCCGTGGCTCCAATGCATCGTGGGTGAGTTTTAAGTGAATATGTGGCTTTGCATGCAGCTGTTTTGCACGTTGCTAACTTGAAACTTATTTATTTGACAGGTAAATGCTAATAATTCATGTTTTAATGTGAGAATCTCATCCCCCTTCCACTTGCTGTTTGGTCTCAGCTTGACCTTGTGACACAGCCTCTCACCTGGAGGTTGAGTGAGGAGACGGCGACGTCGCGGCCGGTCTGCCTCAGCAGATTCTCATCATGTGACACCACCACATGTCCATCACGGGTTAAGTGACAGTCCATCTCCAGCATCTCTGTGCCCTGATCCACCGCACTGAAGGAGGAATACATGCATTTGTTACTGGAACAGTCAGGGAGCTTTTGTTCACTTCTACTCTTCCAGCTTTCTGAACAGAGATCTCCTAAAATGCTGTACAGGAAACTAAAATGCATGCAAGACATGTAATCACAAACAATTAATACAGCAAACAACAGACTGTACACAGTGTTGCATATTTCATGAAGCACATATCTTGCATTTATTTTATACAGTACATCATTGACATCCAGCATCTTTGACTTCTTAAATACTCTGATTTATATTTTAGCAGTAAATGTATATTTTTGTAGATATATTTCCAAAAAGAAATCTGTTAAGCCTAAAATCTCACAGGGACAGTTTATTAGACAGCAACCAATGCAAGAGGAAAGATGCTAAATGTAAGTTCCCTCTTTTATCACATTTACAGTATATTATACTGTAAATAATTTTATAAGCCTGGGTAATCCCTCAGTCTCTGCCTTATTAGACAGAAAAGATGGAATCAGAGTAAATTATTATAGCTGTTGTGTTATTATTGTTGCTGTGTATCTCTGTGTCTCTCTCCCAATTCAATTCAATATGCTTTATTGGCATGAATGTAACAAGGACAATATTGCCAAAACGTCAAGTCAGATTATAAAGAAAGAGAACAGGGTACATTACATAAAACATCTCTCTCTCTCGCTCTCTCTCTCTCCGGTCGAGGCCAATGGCCGTCCCACTAAGAGCCTGGTTCTGCTCAAGGTTTAAACCCATTAAAGGGGAGTTTCTTTCCTAAAAGAGAGTAATTGACACACAGGTACCACTGCATTTAAAGCAGCTTTAAGCATTAAGTTCAACTTGGGGTTCAGTGTCTCTGTAGTGCTGCTCATGGGGGACTGTTGTGTCTAGACCTGCTCTTTATGAAAAGTGTGTTGTTTGGTACTCACTGTGTGAACGCCTCCATCGTGCCCTCTATCCTCTCTCCACATCCTGGTCACAAACAGAGTAGTCAGGGTTGAAGCTGGCAGCAAAGGAGCACCAGTCCCCCAAAAAATACAGTAAAAAAAAAAACACACTTCGCTACATTTGAACAACTTTTGCTCACAGCTGACTGCTTTTAGAGAATATTACATCGCTGTCTCTACTGTAGGTGAGGAGGACACGGTAGGCAACATACTGTGAGTTCATCAGTGTTGAAAGAATTCATAGTGATATAGTTATAAAGTTTGCAATCACAGTGTAGTGTTGGTTGTCTTTTTAAATCTTCATTTGAGCTTGTTTGCTGAAGGTTAATGACATTATAAAGAAACAAAACACCTTGAAATAAAGATTTGATTTGAAAGTTAGTTTAGATTGATTTAACCTCCAGTGAAATGAGCCTTTACCTCCTCTGTGTGAGATGCGTGTGCAGTAGAAAGCTGTGCGTTTCTTCCTGTGCAGAACGTGGGGGTTCTTCAGCAGGTACACCGAGCTGAGAGTGTATCCACCCAGAACCGGGAGGATGAAGTACAGAAAACCGCTCATCCTTTTTCCCGCAAACACATCCAGTGATCTCTGCCCGATCTTGTTCGCAGAACGTCGGACAGAAGCAAAAGATAATGAAGATCTGCAACAATCCCCCTTTAGAGTGTAGAGATCCAAAAGCTCAAATGAAGACAACCGGCTCTCTGTCTTTCTTGGAAGATAAGAAAAAAAACAGGACAGACTGGAAGACCGTCTCCGTCTTGCACAATCTGGAAACCTTCAGAGCTGTAAAAGTACGTTAATGAACCACCGGCTCTTAACCCACAGCTCACCTGTTGGCTCTCCCTCTCTCTCTGGACTCTCCCCTGCCCGAGGCAATACTATTCCACTCTTTACACTGCTTTTGTTCAGCTGGGACACTGGTAGCTTTGTGTGTGTCACACCTGGGCACCTCGGATTTACTTTATACTCTATTCATTGACTAACCCGAGCAACATCACAGGATGAATTCACAGTTGTTGGCATCTATTCGTCCTTTTCCACATTTGAATTTGTGCATTAACAGTTTTGCAGCCGATACTTGGGAAAGACAAAAGGGCCTCTTCCTGGATTGCAGCAGGTTTCGACGCCTGTGTATATATTTCACAAGGGTGGTGTGTGCAGATATGTGAACTCTCACCCACAAGAACAGAAATATGAAAACAATTCATCCACAGGCATGCGTTCTCGCTTTACATGCAGCACAAAGTCAGCAGAGTTGAAGTGCTGCATTGTTCAGGGTTCAATAGCAAAGCTGGACACAAACAATCACTCTGAGCACCCCTCTGAATGTCACAACGAGCCTGGTTTTCACCAGAAGCGCAAACAATTTTTCCAGCATCCTCTCACTTCTGCAAGCGTCTCCTTTTGTCGTGCAAAAAGATGAGTCCGGGTCAATTCGTGTCCTTTTGACACACAGATCATGCTCCACTATGAAGCTATGGAGCTATGTTGTCCGGGGCATTAGCCCCTGGTAGGGTCTCCCAAGGCAAACAGGTCTCGGGGGAGAGCCCAGACTAAGGGCGGTTCAAAACGACCCTAATGATAAGCAGCCCACGGACTTCAGCCACCTCGCCCGGACCAGGGAAACCGGGGCACCCTCCCAGAGCCAGACTCAGGAGGGGAGCTCGTCGGCGAGCGTCTGTTGGCTGGGCCTTCGCCCATGGGGCCCGGTCGGGCTCAGCCCGAATAAACAGCATGGAGCAGCCACCCTGTGGACCCACCACCCTGTGGACAAGCATCGGGGTCGGGTGCAATGCAAACCGGGCGGCGGGTCAGGCGGGAGGCCTGAGCAAGCCGATCGCCGGCAGCATAGACTAGCTCTAGGGACGTGGAACGTCACCTCGCTAGCGGGGAAAGAGCCAGAGCTGGTGCAGGAGGTGGAGCGATACCAGCTAGATATAGTTGGACTCACCTCCACACAGCGCTGGCTCTGGAACCAAGCTCCTGGAGAGAGGTTGGACTTTGTCCTTTTCCAGAGTTGCCCAGGGTGAGAGGCGCCGGGCGGGAGTGGGGATACTCACGAGCCCCCGGCTGAGTGCCGCTGTGTTGGAGTTCTCCCCGGAGAACGAGGGGGTCGCCTCCATGCGCCTACGGGTTGCGGGGAGCAAGGCGTCTCGTTATTGGACTTCTGTGCTTGGGATCAGTGCCCATGGACTGGCAGACCGGGGTGGTGGTTCCCATTTTCAAAAAGGGGGACCGGAGAGTGTGCTCGAATTACCGGGGTATCACACTACTCAGCCTCCCGGGGAAGGCTTATGCCAGGGTGCTGGAAAGGAGGCTCTGACCGCTTGTCGAACCTCAGATTCAAGAGGAGCAATGCGGATTCCGTCCCGGCCGTGGAACTGTGGACCAGCTCTTTACCCTCGCAAGACTACTGGAGGGGTTCTTTGAGTTTGCCCAACCAGTCTACATGTGCTTTGTGGACTTGGAGAAGGCTTTCGACCGGGTCCCTCGGGGGTTGTTGTGGGGGGTGCTGCGGGAGTATGGGGTGCCGGACCCATTACAACGGGCGATCCGGTCTCTGTACGACTGCAGTAGGAGCTGTGTCCGCATTCTCGGCAATAAGTCAGACACGTTCCCGGTGGGTGTTGGCCTCCGCCAGGGCTGCCCTTTGTCTCCGGTCCTGTTCGTGACTTTCATGGACAGGATATCTAGGCGCAGCCTGGGGGCGGAGAACGTCAGGTTCGGGGGTCTCGGGATCGCCTCTCTGCTGTTTGCAGATGATGTGGTCCTGTTAGCCTCCTCGGATCGTGACCTCCAGCATTCACTGGGGCGGTTTGCAGCCGAGTGTGAAGCGGCGGGGATGAGAGTTACCACCTCCAAATCTGAGGCCATGGTTCTCTGCCGGAAACCGGTGGATTGCTCCCTCCAGGTGGGGACGGAGTGCCTACCTCAAGCGAAGGAGTTCAAGTATCTCGGGGTCTTGTTCACGAGTGAGGGTAAGATGGAGCGGGAGATCGACAGACGGATCGGTGCGGCTGCAGCAGTAAAGCAGGCGCTGCACCGGACCGTCTTGGTGAAGAGGGAGCTGAGCCGGAAGGCAAAGCTCTCAATTTACCACTCGGTCTACGTTCCTACCCTCACCTATGGTCACGAACTCTGGGTCGTGACCGAAAGGACAAGGTCGCGGCTACAAGCGGCCGAAATGAGCTTCCTCCGTAGGGTGGCCGGGCTCAGCCTTAGAGATAGGGTAAGGAGCTCGGTCATCAGGAGGGAGCTTGGAGTAGAGCCGCTACTCCTTCGCGTCGAAAGGAGTCAGCTGAGGTGGTTCGGGCATCTAATTAGGATGCCTCCTGGACGCCTCCCACTGGAGGTTTTCCAGGCACGTCCAACTGGGAAGAGACCCCGGGGAAGACCCAGAACATGCTGGAGGGATTACATCTCCCAGCTGGCCTGGGAACGCTTCGGGATCCCCCAGAATGAGCTGGAACATGTTGCCGGTGAGAGGGAGGTCTGGGTCAGCCTGCTTGGCCTGTTGCCACCGCGACCCGACCCCGGATAAGCGGAGGAACATGGATGGATGGATCATGCTCCACGTTTCGCCTACTTTTCTTTCAGTTTAAGTTCTAAGCAGACGCTGCTGCTGTCGTGAAAAGACTCTGGCAATGTCAGGGTCGGCCGGGGAGGCCGTGCTCAGACATGTTATGTAGGAAGGTGGGAAAGCTGCAGAGCTGGAAGAGCGAGTGTTGTGTTTCACGGTGAAATACTGTTAGTTATGTTCATTCCCACGACTCAGCGTCGACGCTCTGGAGTCACAAAGATATTTCAGAGCGTTGCTCTATGGACACAAAGTTATACACATTCACACCAGTGAATAAAGACTCATTTTAAACACAAACGTTAGAGCCATGTCTCCATGGTTATAATGTTCCATGGCAACACCTTCTGAACAGCGTACCCATGGCAACAATCGGCAACA